GACCAGCTGGACATCCAGGAAAGGACGGAGCTCCAGGTGCTCCAGGAGAGAAGGGACCACAAGGAGAAGCCGGATCCCCAGGAAACGATGGAATCCCAGGAGAACCAGGAGTTCCAGGAAAGGATGGAGTTGAAGGAGAGAAGGGAATCTGCCCCAAGTACTGTGCTCTCGATGGAGGAATCTTCTTCGACGATGGAAGCCGTCGTTAAGTTCTATTTCATGGTTGAATGTTTTTGTTCATATAAATTTTTACATTTCAAATTTGTTTTACCTGTCTACAGCTGAAGTATCAACACCCATTTCATTCCGTAAATGGTCTCGTAAACCTTTTCTTTTGTCTCGTTCTTCTTGTACGCTAAAAATGATGTGTACGATTTCACAGCAGTCACGGATACCGTTTCAATTCTTCTTTGAAGTCATCCAAGTTACTAGTTTTACTTTTTTTGGTCTTATCAGCTCCTGGTCGCTGGGGTCGTTGAACGGGCTTAGAAGTACTAGGAGGAACGACAGCAGGAGCGGGTAAACCTTTCTCTCTGTGAGCGTCAGCTAACATTCGACGAGCCTAAGAGAGATGTCAAAGAAAGGAAGACGCATATCGTTCACCTTCTCTGCAGCGAGTCTTTTGGCATCCTCAAATGACTTGGCTACTGCGGGCAATCCTATCTTGACAGGAACAACTGGTTCAGGTTTGTATAATGCAGGCTTTGCCGATCCCGGAACAACTATAGAAGCATTGAAAAGATTTCTTTTGTACACCATACTCGTTTTGTTGTTTTCTACGACGTCTCCTCTCAGAAAGGCTTTCCCTGTTGGATTGGGTACCGTTTCATCTCCAAACTCATCTTGAAATTTCTGGAGAACTTTGGACATCTCTTCATCCTCTTCTTCCTGCTGAAAAGATAGATAACGATACTATTGTTGTTTTTAAATACTCATACTTTACGTTTCCGATGTTTATCCATTTTATTCTGAAGTAAAGATTCTTTAAACGCTAGTGAACGAAGAAGAGAACAGAAAATCACAGAAGTCAATGAGCATGTAAGACGAAGCTACCCTTTGATACTCGGACAGTAGGTATCATTTAAGAAGATATCGATATCCAAAATCAATTCCAATTATGGAATTCGTTTCTAATAATTATTCTAATGAAGGCTGTTTTTTGTGAATGTATGTAGTTTTTCAAGCTAACATGCATTAAAGGGCGATTACTATTCGTTGCGGGATATTATTTTTTTTCAGAGGACTCTCACAGTTCTTCAGTCTAGTTTCTCTGTTTTCTATGAAAATTGTGCATCCTTCTTAGTTTTTAATAATTTGAAAATATGAAGAAGATTTGTCTATATAATATAAAAAGAATAAATCAATAAGAACGTGAGCGTCTTCATCGCAGTTCAGACATTGTTTGTTCTGGCTGACTTTGCAATTCCCTTTTTTTGAAATTTTTATCAATTTTTCGAGAAGTTCCAATGTTGCCATCAAATACGTTTTCCTTTCTGCCAATATCTAACACTGTGAATAGAAAAAATTCAATTTCACCTTCGATGGCCATTTCTAGGTTTCTTTATCAGTTCTCGATCTCCTGACTACCAAGTCTATTGCAAATTCTTCTTTCTAAGACATAATTCTAATGGAATGAAGAAAATGTGGAAATATTGTTTGATTGCCTATCATTGCGAATTCAAAGCCTGACTGTGTGTCATCATGAATGATTGGAAGTTTAAGGTATTGGCATAATAAAGAGATCGATAGAGTCGAAGAGTTTATTGGGCTGGCACGAACAACACAGAGCAGAGCTTATTTCATTTCTGTCGAAGATCACAAACTAACCGGTTGCATTCATCCATAGCGAGCAATCTAACCATTCAGTCAATCACACAAGAACACCGTAATCATAAAATTTGTTGAAATGAATCTGTAAGCATAGTCAGAAGTGGTTTCTCCTTAATTTGTGACATATCTTATGGCATAACCATGACGGCAGGTGAACGAGAATGCTGAAGCATTAGAATCATGTGTGTCCATTAATTTAAACAAAAATTTGACCCCTTTTTTATAATGAATTTAAAAAGAATTACTTCTTCAACTACACAAAAGAGACATCATGATGATTACGCTTTAAGAACAGCGCAGCGCCTAAAGGCACACTGTGACCTAAGTTGAAAAAAAAGTTATTTCCTTGAACAACTAAACGGGTTCCAGTACAGATTTCACCCACTATATAAGCAATTGCATAGAATGAGAGAATTATATTCTCATTAACCATGGACTACGATTCAAAAATAACGGTAAGATTACTTCCTCTCAATTTTTTCTTCAACTATCCCTTCAGGCTTACCGCTTTGTCGGGTACTCCGCAGTCTTCTTCTCTGTCATCTCTGTTCTCTCTATCTGTGTTACCCTTCCAATGGTACACAACTATGTTGATGAGTACAGAACTCACGTGAATGCTGAACTTCGTCAGTGTCAATCTGCCACTGAGAACATTCTTCATGAAGCAATCAAGGTGAATCCGATTTATGGTTTTTTTTTTACTTAGTACTTTTTGAAGACTGCTCCAAGCAACCGTACTGCTCGTAACGCCGTTATGGCTCAGAAGGTTAACTATAACACCTACTCTGCTTCTTACGGATCTCCAGCCGCTGTCAAGGAGTTCGAAGATGAGCAATGCAACGGATGCTGTCTCCCAGGACCAGCAGGACCACAAGGACGTCCAGGAACCCCAGGAACTCCAGGACGCCCAGGAGCCCCAGGACTCGCTGGAAACCCAGGAAGACCA